TCCGGAGCAAAGATGATCTCTTCTACAACTCTTGCTCATTCTGCTGATCTACTGTGTAGCAGCCGGTACACAGTACGGTGCTATAAATACGCGCAGAGCGCGACCGCCAACAACTCGAGAGACCTTTTCAGCGGTCAGCTGCTACATTTGGTATCGAGACCTCGTGAAAAATCACGGTCCTGAAGTCGTCGGTTCAACCCCCACCGAACACGTTCGAGTGGTATATCGGGTGTGGCGACTCAGAGAGCGAGTATTGTACAAATATACAAAAAAAAGTAGCTGAACCGACTGGACTGTCTCTGTGCCTGAAAAATCTGAAGACGGCTAGGCGCATGTGAGCCGGCACATGACGTGACGTGGAGTAATTACCCACTGCCCGAGGGTAGGAGAAGGTAGGCACAGGCTGGCGGTATACGAGGCTCTCAGGGCCCGGGACGGTTCCCTTCAAAGGGGGGGGAATGTAGCAGCCGGTACACAGTACGGTGCTATAAATACGCGCAGAGCGCGACCGCCAGCAACTCGAGAGACCTTTTCAGCGGTCAGCTGCTACATACTGTGTCATGTCACCCTAGTGGCTGTAGCCTCTGTCCGGCCTCCTGTAGCAGCTGTATGCCTCGCTGCATGCTTCCTTGGGTGTCCCCGCTCCCCTTGCTGGTGTTCGTCCTGCGACGCCGGGTTCTCCCCTTTCTGCTCCTCACTCACCCACTTGCTGCCTTCACAAGGGTCATCGTTTCACGACAGCAGTTCGTCCAGATCAGCTCCCTCCTCCTCCCGGGTGTCCGTGTGGTAGCCAGTGCTAGATCCTCCGGCTCCTTCCCCTTCTATCCCTTGCTTGATCACAGTCAACACAGTAAGCCTGGGCCTCTGGGCTTGGGTCTCCTTGCGTGGCGCCTCGTTGCAGCTAACCAGGGCGTCCGCCCGTTGGGCCACCTGTTCTGCCTCTGTTGCTGGGTGTTTATACCAGCAGCGCTGCCCAGCCTGCACCTTAACACAGGGCCCCTTCCCTGTGTAACTAGTACACAAGTCAGTGCAATTCACATGGCCCCTTTACACACTCTCCGTAATCTGCTCTTCACCCACTTCCTGGTATCCCCGCCGACCCAGCTCCTGGTTTACAGCCACCACTACACTGGCAGGCGGGCTCAGCCGCGGTCCATCGCGGGCCCCTCACCGTGAGGCGTTCCCAGTCCCGGGTTTACTAGGATCTGGGAGCCTGCACCCACTGGGCTCCGACTTGCACTCCTCTGGTCGTGGAAGCCGGGAACCCCCGATTGCCACCCTTCCCATGCCGCTCTGTTGCCCACACTCATCCTGCGCTCGCTGTCAACCTCCTCCTAAATTCCTTAGTAGGCTGTGGGTCAGCTGCCCATGCGCCTCTTGTAACTTCACGGCCGTGCACGTGAACAGTACCACTGCCGGCCAGGTTCACTCCTGCAACTCCTTGAACATCTGAGGCTGACACCGCGGCCTGGAGGGCCACCTCTAACCCGAACACCTGGAACTCGTGGGCCTGCTGCTGTAGCTTGAACACACTCGTCTCCACCCAGCTCCACGGCACCAGGTATCCAGCAATTTGCCCCGTGAAGTGTCCTTTGAGAAGCGTGTTTGGCTTTTGCCCGATGTATGCCCCAACATGCTGGTGTTGCGGCCCTGCAGAATCCATGCAGCACTCATGCAACTTCTCTTCCTCCCGCTCTGGCATAACACGGCTACGGGTTTACCGCCCGCAGTGCGTGGTGGCTTTGCGCCATTACTCTAACCTGGACCTCCGGGGCCTCCCACAGCTGGGATGTTGGGACTCGGCCAACAACCTCGTAATGCAGCACCTCCGGGCTGCCATGTTGTTTCCTTACGGCGGCCATGCACCTCTTGGATGGCCTTCTCCCGGACGCCACGGTTCGCCTGGGGCTGCTCTTCCAGGCCAGTGGCTGCTGCCGGATACAGGGCTCCCGCTCCCGCATTGGTGAGCTGCGTCTCCTGGGCCTAATCCTCAGCCAAGCGTCTGACTGCTGCCATTTATCCTCCCGTCCTTCCCTGGCTTCCGCACCCCAGGGGTGGCTTCCATGCCTTCCAATCTGTGACTCAGGAAACCGCGCCACCATTCGCTTCTCCTCTTCCACCTGTTCCTCTTAGCCCTGGCTTGGGATGTCAGGACGACCTTCCGACCCTTGGTACCCGTTGCCCCGATTCCTGCCCTCACCGACGGGCCTCCACAACTGCACCTCATCCATTGCTGCTGTCCGAGTTATCTCCCCTTTCTGGCTCCAAGTCCTCCTCGTCCACTTCTGGCCCCATGCACTCCGTCTGGGTGCTCCACTACACGAGAACAATCCCGCTGGGGTTGGTCCTCCGGCGGACACAACACAACCTACCAGCCCAAAGCAACTCAGCCTGGGTACTTCACCGTGCGAGAGCAAACCCCTGGGGTTGGCCTTCTGGATACATGCGACCCATCCTCCTGGGCCCAAGGCAACTCAGCCTGGGTGCTTCGCTGCCGAGAGCAAAACCTGCTAGGCTGGCCTTGCGGATAAACGCAACACAAACTACCGGCCCAAGGCAGCTCCGCCTGGGTGCTTCACTGCACGAGAGCATACCCCCTGGGGCTGGCCTTGCGGATAAACGTAACACAAACTACCGGCCCAAGGCAGCTCCGCCTGGGTGCTTCGCTGTCCGAGAGCAAAACCTGCTTGTGCTGGCCTTGTGGATAAACGCAACACAAACTACCGGCCCAAGGCAGCTCCGCCTGGGTGCTTCACTGCACGAGAGCATACCCCCTGGGGCTGGCCTTGCGGATAAACGTAACACAAACTACCGGCCCAAGGCAGCTCCGCCTGGGTGCTACGCTGTCCGAGAGCAAAACCTGCTTGTGCTGGCCTTGTGGATAAACGCAACACAAACTACCGGCCCAAGGCAGCTCCGCCTGGGTGCTACGCTGTCCGAGAGCAAAACCTGCTTGTGCTGGCCTTGTGGATAAACGCAACGCAAACTACCGGCCCAAGGCAGCTCCGCCTGGGTGCTTCACTGCACGAGAGCAAAACCTTGCTGGGGCTGGCCTTGCGGATAAACACGACACAAACTACCGGCCTAAAGCAACTCTGCCTCGGTGCTTCACTGCGCGAGAGCATACCCCCTGGGGCTGGCCTTCCAGATAAACGCGACCCAGACTACCGGCCTAAGGCAACTCCGCCTGGGTGCTTTACCACGCACCCCCTGGGGCCTTTCGGAGCAGCACAACGCAACCCGGACGCTTCTCTCCCTGAGAGCATCACCCGGGTAAAGCCTATCAGCCGTGGGCACTCGTTATTGGGCAGACTTCCAGAGTCTAGTTGCTACCCGATGAGCGCAAGGCGGTCCGGGCGCTTCGGTGGGCTCCAGCTGGTCACCTGGCAGTAACCCACGGTGGTAATAAACCATGCTGAGCTAAATTTAGGGTTTTAGGTTTAAACCTCGAAGCAATGACCTCTGGGCTCCAGCTGGTCACCTGGCAGTAACCCGCGGTGGTAATAAACCGTGCTGAGCTAAATTTAGGGTTTTAGGGTTTTAGGTTTAAACCTCGAAGCAATGACCTCTCCGCCGCGGTGCCGTCCCCTCGTAGCCGGATCACCCCATTCCCCAGCAAAACATGCGTAGTTGCCAACCCTTTGCGGCCGGTTTAGGGACACCCCTTTCCCTCTTACACACAACTGGGTAGGCCTAGTTGCAGCTGGCTGCGCCTGCTTTCAGACAACGTGGGATAAGGTGCGGAGTCCGTTGATCACCGCATCGTCCCCTTCTGGGTGTTTCCGTCGCGTGCCATTCTTATCGCCTTCATCATAGCCATTACTTCGTTCTCCTCCGGACCTCCTCCGACTCCACCGTGCACTTCATCCCGCTCGGCCATCTCTTCACTGTTACTGACACCCAATGTGCCAGTAACGCTGTGTTCTCTGATTTCCTTCCTTATTAAACTGGGTCCAAATCACTCTGGGAAAGGTTTTCACCCGTAAATTCATGTTTACCCGTAATCATGTGGTCTTCACATGTAATTACCGGCCAAGAAAATTTGTACACATGCTTATTTTTAAGTTGCCAAAGCATTCCTTTTATAAGGAATAACACAGGTGACATTTTGTTGGTTGCCCGTGCTGGAAGTCATCCACAGGTTACATTACCCGTAATCACAAGGTCTTGACCCGTAATCCCCCAAGCCGTAATGCACAGCACCCGTAAAATTTCACGGGCTTAATTGCGACGAAGACGTGTTATGTGTGTGTGTGTGTTACATGGTTGGGGGTGCGTGACCCCATACCTGTAAGATTACCCATACGAGCCGAGGGCCCAAGGGTAATACTACAACACCTAAAAGCCACGGAGGAAAGGAAAACACCGCACATCAGCCCAGACTAGCGTCTAAAGGGGGTAATTGAGTTTCGGTGAGCCCACATACGTTCCAATTTCCTCGCCAGACGTGCGGGTTCCCATTGCATGGCCTCCAACATGCTCTGTTGATGATCGAATCCTTCTTCAGCACGAATATCATTATAGGCTGGGCATTCCAATAACAGGGGTTCACATCCTCAATTCGGCTATTAGTACCACAACAGTGGCAAAACCNGCTGCCCCCTGGGGACGTGGTACTTGCCCCTTCATGCT